TTGGTGGTGGAGCGGCCGCCGCGCTGTCCCCAGGGCCCCGCTGGAGCCTTCCCTGCTGCCTGATCCCCGTGGGCATCTCCTCTTTATCCGCGACTCTGTTCCTTTAAAACGTGAGTGAAAATGTAGGTCAGGCGCAGAGCTTAGCCCAGCGCGAGTGACGTGCGTGCTCTGAAACCGCGCGGTGACGCCAGCCGGGGGAAGCCCAGGTGGCAGAATGGAAGGGATATTCTTTCTCCTGGCTAAACGAAAAGGATATTCTTTCTCGTACAGACCTAATATTCCCAGAAGCGGAATCTGCTCCTCCTCCTCGGAGTCACTACATTTTCCAGCGCCTGGAGCCAGACGCGATGACTGAGCGGGAAGCAGCAGGGCTGGCCTGGCCGCCCGGGGGCGGCTCTGCCGGGCCGGGGAGCAGAGCCTGGGCCCTTGGGCGCTGACACACATGGGGACACGGGGACACACACAGGGGACACAGGGGGACACGGGGACCCAGTGGCACGTGCCGCCCGCCCCGTTGCAGCGCTCTGGCGCCTCCTGGTGCTCCGCGGCTCCGCTCCCGACCCCGCTCGGGAACGCCGCTCCGTGCATATCTGGGGAATTAACACAAGGAAAAGGGGGGTTCTTACTTGTTCGCTGTCCCGTGCAAATTGGTGAGCAACGTGAAGTTATTCCTCACGCTCCGCAAGCTTGCCAGGACCTAGGGCGAACGAGAACGGAGATTTCACGCGACTGAAGCGAGGGCTCTCAAGCGCCGTGTTAACGTGAGGCTGCGGGCGGCAAACTCACCTGTGCGAAAGGTGTGACGATCAGGTCGTCCCCGTGCCTAGGGAGAAACGAGAACCTTGCTGCGCAACGCAGAGCATTCCAGGGACGCGTGCAGGGTTCCCCGGCCGCGCTCCGTCGTGCAGCCCGGCTCAGGAACCTGCACTGAGCCCCTCTGCCGAGCCAGCGCCCTTCGGCACGTGTAGTGCCAGGTCCTTCTTGGTGACACGGGGGCACGGTGCTGTGCAAGGAGCTGTGCACCCTCCTCCTCGCCCTCCTCTGTGCAGGGACAGCTCCATCCCGCCCTCTGCGAGCTGCAGGCAAATGCTCATCCTGAACGGAGCTTCCTCTGCCTTGGGGACAGGGGCTTCTGGGGCCCTCAAAAAAGCCTTAACCCACGGGCCGTTTCTCTGTTTACTGTGGCATGGATGCTAGTTTCTGATGGAACCTCCAAGAAAACCACTCTCTCATGGTCCAGAGAGGCTGTGTCCAGGGCTACGGCGGAGATGCAGGCACTGGGCCCATTGCCTCAGCCTGGGCGTCAACGCTGCCGATCCCCAGCTTTAAATTAAAGTGGTCTCAGAGGCCATGTCTAGCACAGGCCAGGCAAACCCATTCGCATCTGGAGTATTGTGTCCAGTTCTGGGCCCCACAGGACAAGAGGGATGTGGAGCTGCTGGACAGAGTCCAGCGCAGGGCTACGAGGATGATCAGGGGCCTGGAACATCTGCCCTATGAGGAGAGGCTGAGGGAGCTGGGCCTGTTCAGCTGGAGAAGAGAAGGCTGAGAGGGGACCTGAGCAGTGTCTAGAAGTACCTCAAGGGAGGCAGTGAGGAGGATGGTGCTGGCCTCTTTTCACTGGTGGCCACCAACAGAACTAGAGGCGCTCGGTGCTGTGCTGATCCGCTCAAGCTCCGCCATCTGCCTCGGTTCCTCCCTTAGTTCTGATACTTTGAGAATATGGAATATTTATATTTATTTATAGAATACTTAGAATATGGATTCGGAAATTCTTATTAAATGTATTAAATGTTGGAGCAAAGGGGTCTATTCCCATGTAAGCCATGAATGCGAGTGGCCCCGGGCCTCTTCCCAGGAGATCGCGGGAAGCTCCGGGCTACGTCTGGGATGCAGCAGGAGCCACATGGGCACTTACTGCTCGCTGGGCAGGGAGGAGTTCCTGGACATGGTCTTGGGCGACAGGTCGTAGTCGCTGTCGGAGCGGTAGAGGAAGGACTCGCGGGGAACACAGGCGAGTGACTGCGGTGACAGGGACACTCGGCCCTTCCGCGCCACCTGCCCGGCAAGGTTCAGGGAGCTGCGGGATGGAGGGTTGCTCCAAGGGCAGCCCCGGCCTCCAGCAGCCGCTCTCGTGTTTCCTCACGTGGCTGCTGCAACCCGAGCCCGAGGTCACGGCGGCACCCTCGTAAGCACGGCAGGACTGGGGCCTTTTAATCTAACACACCAAACACCTCGTATCAGCCGCGGTCAGCAGAGCCGCTGAGGAGCAACTGGCTCAACAGCAGTAACAGCATATGTTGGGCACTGCAAACTTTGCTTCAGCAACTGTATTTTTAACGTGAATATTTATCTATATGTGTACGTGTGTTGGGGAGTGTTGCAGATAATTGTTTGTGATGCCTCCAGAAACTGCTCCTCGGGGTGCAGGAACGCGGGACCGGCTCTCCTGGCAGTTGTGCTGCTCCTCGTGTGTAGGGAGAAGATAAATACTTTGCTCCTGTGCTCTTTGCTTCTACGTGCGGGTCCTCGAGAATGGGGAAAGGCCCGAGGAGAGTGAGCACAAGCAGCAGGGCGAACATTTTTAGACCCCTAAGAAACCAAGTACATTGCGGCATCAGTACAGCAAAGGTATACATCACCCAGGGGGATTCCCATGTGTGTCGCGCTTCTGTAAGAGTTTGCTTCCCAGACTGCTAAAGCACTCCTTGAGGCTTGCAGGGGCTCACATTATATTATTTTTGTTCTTTACTATCTGTTCTTTCAGTAATGGCAGCAGGAACACACTTTATTTCTGCTCAAAGAAACAACAGAAGGAAATCAGCTCTATGACTACAGTACAAACAGCTGCCAGCGGGGAATTAATCCATACCCATCCAGAAAATGAGCTCCGATTCCTCAAAATGTTTTACGGCAAAACTTTAAAGCCTACAGACGACAAGAGCAAATATTGCCGTGAGCTAAACCTGCCCACCTCACCTTGCCTTTCCCTCCTGCACTGACCCTGCTCTTCCTTGCCCCCTTTTTTAACATTACAACCGCTGTTCCTTGTCGGCACCAGCCTCCTGGGAGCGGCTGCCACAGAAATTCCCATGCCAGCGCAGGGATTTTCCATCCTTTCCATCGCTTGGAGCAGTTTTCCAGCAGGAAGAAGCGTTTGGCCTCTGCTGGAGGTGGTGGGACGCTCCATCTCGGCCGAGGTGACGGGGCTCCCTGGGAAGCAGCTCTCCCTGCTCCGCTGGGGTTCTCCGCTGCTCGCGCTGGGATGAGCGGGAGATGCTCAGCTGCTTCCTGCAGCACCGCGGGATGGTGGAATCGTGTTATGTAAACACAGAGGGCACAAACCCGCGGCTCTATAAAC